TTAAGCAGAAACAAGGTCTAACAGTAGCTTGCCGGCAGGTTTGCCTGTATAGCCCAGTTCAGGTTACCCTACTAACAGAAGGTCAGCTACATGTAATCTCATGATGTTGCCTACAGTGTGAAACATCTGCTTCACAGCGAAAGGTCGCCCTGTCCCACTATCTCCTGCCCTCACCTGTATCGTGTAAAGCCTACTAGATCACATACAGCAGTTGTCGCTGCTAACCGCGCTGTTAGTGAACTACAACGAAACTAGCAAAGCTGCTCAATCTGATGGAGCATGCTAACTTAGCCTCGTCACCAGTCACATTAGTGCCAGATAAACACGTCGCACAAAAATAAAGATCATGCTGTCTTCATTCAAAACCAGTCACATTTCAAACACTTACATTCGGCTCCTTATTCGCCATGTTTTAAACGTCAAAGCCCAAGGTCGACACAGATGGAACCCCTCCGCGTGGGCCGCAAACTACACTGGGACATGTAGTCCCCTTTTTCTTCGGCGTTTCACGTCATGAAAGCATTCTCACAGAAGTAATGCTGCCCCCTGGAGGTCTCAGCCCCCAAAATCCAGCCGTCATCTACTGTATAATTTACCCAAACAGCGTTTGAGTTTCTTCTGCTTGCTATGTGATTATTTTTTGTCTTTTATCCCACAGCGGATCATCTCACCCTGTCCCTAACATATGCTTTTTCCTCCTGCCTCTCAGCTCCATCTTCATCATCATCCTTTATCTGATATATCCACTCTCCCTCCTCTGCACATGTCCAAACCATCTTAACCTCATCTCTCTCACTTTTTCTCCAAACTGCTCAGCCTGAGCTGTCCCTCTAAAGGACTCAGTTCTAATCCTGTCCATCCCGCTCACTCATAATAAAGATCTGAACATCTTCAGCTTTGCTTTCTGTCTTTGTTTCAGTGCCGCTGTCTCCAAACAATACATCATAGCAGGTCTCACTACCATCTTGTAATCCTTCCCTTTCTCTCTTGCTGCTATCCCTCTGTCACAAATAAACACTGAAAACGACATACAGTATATTAAGTATATTTCTAAACATAATTGTTCAATCCATTAAAAAAAAATCCATAAAAAAAATCTGCATGAAACTGAAGAGATTTCCACATCAGTGCACTTAACACCCACGACCTAGGCTGAGAGAAACTGAGCTGTCAACTGTCAAGGTGGTGTGGGAAGATGCTGGACACAATCAAATGTCCAGTGTGGATGTACAGGCACCATCTGGCAGAATGCCTGTTCCAAGAGATCTTTACCCCTCCATTCTGGTAGATCTTTGGTCAGGACATTGAATCCAAATTAGTCATGTGCCACTCCTCTATTTCTGGCTGTAAAGTTGCTGATACCTGTCTCAATGGTGGATGCCAAAAGTGAAGTTGAAGGAGAGTTGTACCAATCTTGGTTTGTTTCTTGGATTCTGGAGCCAGCTGACCAGTATCTGCAGTGAAGTAAATGCTGTGGGGCTGTCTTGGTTGACAAATCTCTGCTGCATTGCGTGAAGGTCAGGGACAGTCCCCTCTGGATTGGCAAACTGGGATGGTGGTCCTACAGGTAACTAGGGGAATGACATTCCTTGGCCTCCCTGTGGAAGTCTTTGCCCCAGTACTAGAGAGGAGACTCCACCTGTTTTTTTGGCCTAGCCATAGAAGAGCATATCTGTGATAAGATACTTCAGGGTGCATGGGAATTTTTCCAACAACTCTACATGCATCATTTGAAATTGGGGAAATTGTTTCCCAACCATGTCGGGGAAAATTATTAATTAATAAAATGAACAGAACGCATCATGTTATTCCAACATCATGTAACTTTAATCCACACCTCCCATTATATTACAACACAAATCTATTTTACAAAGCCCAGATAGGAGCTAAGAAATACACATAACGAGGTGAATGTCTGAACTACATAATCTAGTGAGAATATGCAAAGCAAAGGTGTTGTAAAAGAATTTAAGCTGCTGTTACCATCTGGATCTAGCTAAGATAAAATGACGCACGTTTTGGTTTCACCCTGATAATGATTTTATTCAAAGTGAAATATCAGAATTAAGTCGTGTGAAGGTCAATTAAAACATAAATTAATGGAATAAAAGCTTGTTTTGTTCTACCAGTGAATAACAACAGTTTTTAATTAAGTCATAACTGTGTGAAGGTTTCACTTTAACAATTCATGGAGGAGTGTAAAAAAACAAGCAAACATGTGTAGCCTTCTATCAGACTACATTGAAACCACTGTTGCAAACATTATATTAAGCGGGTTTGTCCCAGTCACGAGTCAGCCTGCTAAGGTTAGTGCTTTAGAAAACTAACAGGGGATGAGCACTGCAGTGTTAGACGGGCCTCATCAACTCATCAAAGTGAAACATTACAACTGGGTTAATGTGTAAAGATTAATATATCCACAAATGTATATTTCTTCCATTTCTCCAATAAAAACCAAGCAATTCTAATCAATGACTAGAAAAAAAAAAACAACATTGACCATCTGAGGAGGAGAAGAGTGCACAGGTTGTGCTCCTTCTGTTGCTCGAATGCAGGAAGGAGGCTGCATTTCACCTGCTTTGGAATGTCACCCTTACTAGTAAAGACATGTGAGAAATGTGGGCGCTCACAGACAGCCTCTGAAACGGGACGCAGCCAGAGGAAATGAGCTCAATTCAGTTCAATTTTATTTATATAGCGCCAGATCATAACAACAGTCGCCTCAAGGCTATACTACTTTATATTTGAATTATGTAAAATATGCAGTGTTCATTGTAACAGGTTTATACATTTTATCTGAGTTGTCAATAAAATTTGTAGCACCTAAAATGACAATAAGAGCTTTCATCTCATCCCCGTCCCTCTAGTGCAGGGGTGGGGGAACTCCAGGCCTCGAGAGCCGTGTCCTGCAGGTTTTAGATGTATTCTTGATCCAACACAGCTGATTTAAATGGCAAAATCACCTCCTCAACATGTCTTGAAGTTCTCCAGAGGCCACTTCCAGAGGTAGTGAACTAATCATTTTATTCAGGTGTGTTGACCTAGGCTGATATCTAAAACCATGTAGGACACTGGCCCCCTGAGGCCTGGAGTTCCCCCACCCCTGCTTGAGTGCATCACCTTCCCTCAGCAACAACAGTCCATCTTTGACCA